ATATGACCTTGTTTTTCAGGTCATGTCATGACCCAAATGGCCAATTCTCAACATCTTGCGTTGGCTATGGGCCTTGTGAGCTTTTAACACCTTGATTTCGGCCTTTTATGCCAATCCTACCTCCCACCTATCATGAAACATGTTGTTCGACGATGTACAGAGGTCAAGGTCAGGGTCAAGGTCAACCTAGGTCATCTAAGATAATTGCGTTTTAGGCAAGCTGAATTTACTTTTTTTGAAATTTTTTGACTACATTTTTGGTAAAAGCTTCTCAGATCATGATTTCATGTAATATGGACACATAAACAATCGGTGCACACATCAGTATACACACAGACACACACAGACATACAAACACATATTATTGACCTTGACCTAACTTGACCTGAGATGACCTCAGCAGCAAAAACCTGGTCGGGTAGTGTGACAAAGAGGTTCTAGCTGGCTTGGCACCAGAAAACGGCATCGTCATCGGTATATGACAAGCAGCGCGCTTGATATCCAACGGTGACCTAAAACAGCAACATTTTTTAGTTTGACCTGACCTGGAAGGTCAATGACTGACCTGAGAAGGTAAAACTGGGTATCATTGGATTCGTCTCTTCCCAAAGAATCTTTTTGGTCTTTACTGCTAAGCTCTATCTCCAACAGGAACGAAATGGCGCGGGGGGGTGGCAACCCCCCCCCCCCCCCATGTGCGTTCTAGGATGGGAAAATGGCATGTGCGGGCGAGGGTTAACAGCAGATATCTTTATTTTACAAAGTTATTTCAGCGTTTTAATCGATGATTCTCTCCGATAATAAGATAAAGCAGGCATATAAGCAATTAGGGCAACCATAGCTGATAGCTACTAAGAGACACATTGAACCTAATTTGACCAAATCTGCACCTAATCTGCACCAGATGTGCACCAAATGTGTACCAGATGGCCGTCGTGAAAACGGCTAACATCGAGTAAAACGCATTTTGTCAAAAATCAGAGATAGGGCGTCAGCTGCCTAGTACATATGTTGCTATTAGAGGTCACTGATGATACCAGGTCAGGTCACAGGTCAGGTCACCAAAGGTTAGCACATGAACTCAACTTTACTAGGGTTGCGCGATGCATGTTTTATGGCCAATTTTTCATTTCCAACTTAACCCTCGCATGTGTGCGGCGTTTGCCAGCTTCTAATGTGTAGGGGGGGGGTCGGTTGGACCCCCCCCCTTGCCGTTTGGCCCCTGATCGAGCTAGAGCTTCGCGGAAAAAACGAGCGTGTTGCCCGTGACGAGAGCGAGGGTACTGAAAGTTTCGTCGCGATCGGCCGCTTTTTACGCGAGTTATTCGCGAAAAACCTTAGGGGGGTTGCATCAACCCCCCCCCCCCCCTGTGCCGGCGAGGTTTAACAGTCTACATGCCCAAATTAACCCGCGCCCCGCAGGGCTACCGGCGGACGCTACCATCCGTAGGGGGGGGGGGGGCGTTTCGGCCCCCCCTAAGATCTCTAAAATTTACCGGCCGATTTTCAAAATTCAAACGGCGTTCGATAGCCCCACCCGGGAACTACCTTGTGACCAAATTTCATTCACCTAGGTCAATTCGCTGACGTCACAGGTCAGGTCAAAGGTCGGATTTTCACCGTTCACAGGCATTTCAAGAAATGTGTTGTGAAATCGAGTAAATTGGTAAGTTATTGAAAACCATCGATGGTACATTATTCGTCAAACACATACTTCGCTATCTGAGGTCACTGATACCAGGTCAGGTCACAGAGGTCAGGTCACTGGGGGGTCACCTGGGGGGTCACAATATGAAAGTGTCGTGTGATACATGTTTTATGGTCCATTTTACATGACAAATGCGATTATGTGGGTCAGGCAGCCTTTGGGGCCAGCTTAGGTCACGTTTTGGTGAAGGTCAGGTCAAGGTCAGGTCATATTAGGTCAAATTTTAAAGTTAATATTTTTGCATTAAATTAGCATCGTTTCGATGCAGCTCGTCACGGGGAGTCCGATGGTGGTCTTTGTTTTGCCCTACGTGGTTGCCCCAAAATTGAGTTTGAAAATTTGACGTCATCATTTTTGAAGTTTTTTCGCTATAACTTGGCCAAAAAACGAGATATCGATCTGAAATTTTGTATGTAGATAGAAAATGGTAGGTTAGGTTAGGTTAGGTTAGGTTAGGTTGAGCGCGGACGTTTTCAGCTGGGTTTCCGCGACCGTTTTGGCGAAATCGCCAAGGTCAGCGACATAAAAAAGGGGGTTGCATCGACCCCTCCCCTGCCACGGCGAGGGTTAAGGGATAAAGGAGGGGAGCTAGGGAAAAATAAGTGTCATATTCGTGTTTCCCGCCCCCCAATTGACTCTTCAGAGTCTTTAAGAGCAATTCTGAATCTGACGCTGTATTCGTTGCTGTTGCTGACGCTAACTTCACGGACATGGGGGGGGGGGGGGCATTTTCACGCCTCCCCCCGTCTAACTCGGCTGCTCCTGGGTCACGTAGCGACACGCGGTAAGCGGCAATCGAAAGAGCGTCCAAAATAAGGAAGACAACACGTCAGTCACTTTTAAGGTCAGGTCGAAGCGGAAGGTCAGGTCACCAGAGGTCATCAAAGGTCAAATTTTGTCGATTTCAACAATATTGAAACACCCGACGGCTAAGTCGAAAACCAATAGAGCTACAGCGCCGCAGAAAAACGCATTCGATAGCTCTTTTAACGTTTATTTCGCTACGTGTCCTCTGATTTGACCTTAGATCAACGGTTCAGCCTCCAGAGGGCAGAAACCCGAAAAATAGCTCCTTTTCACGAACAAAGTTTTTCGGTAATAACTTTTGACTTAGGAAAGCCACGACATTAATTTTGCCAGCATCGTGTTCCCCTCGTCAAGACGCATCGAATAAACAATTGTGTTACATTGAAAGCTCATCTGGAAAATTTGACCTCAGGGGCTCAGGTCAAGGTCATGACCTAACGGAAAAGAATCATGTTGCATATCAGTCGATCCGTACCGTCGAGCTGGACAAATCTGACGTGTTTCACCGCTCTGGCTTCTCTCTGTCGAAAGTTATAGTAGAAAAACTGCTGACGACCTTTCATGACCTGATATGACCTTAGGCTTAGGGGCACACAGAGGGGTCACAGGTGCAATTTCCCGATTCAGTGTGTCATGTTTACCTTAACTACCGATGAACCGATGTTAGAGAGGGTTTAGAACGACATTCGTCCAAAAGAGGCGCATTTCAATTTTCTCCCATTGACTGAGATATTCGCGAAAAACCTGAGGGAGGGGGGGGGGGCGTAAAATCGCCCTCCCCCTCCCAGCACGGCGTGGTTTAAAAGAGCTATCAAATGCGACTAGGCGGCACTGTGACACTAGTTGTTCCCAAATTATCAAAATAGGCCAAATTTGACATACGATGACCTCAAGTGACCTGACCTTTGACCTGACTATAAAGGACCGAAGCAATATTCTTGAATTTTTAGCTTTTTCGATCCCCATTTTAATTTTTATGTCATACCTACCGCGTGTCATTATATGGCCCAGGTGTCGAGTTAGAAAGGGATATGCAAACACTCCCGTCCGCTCCTCAAATTGCGGACTACAAAATTTGGTTGCGGTAGTGGCGGATAGAGGAACCTAACCCCTTCCCTAAAAAGAGAGAGAGAGAGAGAGAGAGAGAGAGAGAGAGAGAGAGAGAGAGAGAGAGAGAGAGAGAGAGAGAGAGAGAGAGAAAGAGAGAGAGAGAGAGAGAGAGAGAGAGAGAGAGAGAGAGAGAGAGAGAGAGAGAGAGAGAGAGAGAGAGAGAGAGAGAAGCGGACTAAAGAGTAGCTAAATTGCCCTACTCAGCTACCGACAGCAAACAGTAATACAGCCGAGCGTTCTCCGCCACCTCATCGAAAGCGATCCGCGTGAGGCTTCGTAGGTATATTTGTTTCTTCGCACTGATCTGGCATCCTCTCAATGACGCACCATCCGATGTGCCACTTCCCGGTTGGACAGCGCAGGGTCCCACATCCAATCACCATCTGCAGTCATGTGAGCGGGTTGTGCCACTACCGCACCACGTGAGAGTCAGCCGGCGGTGCAGCGCAGCCGCCGGAGCACCCAGGCCCCAGCGGTGCCGCGCCGCCGGCCGGCGCAGCAGTTCGGTTTCCCAGTTCCCAGCGCGGCAGCGGCAGCGGGCTCTCACGCGGTAACCAGCCGGCGATGGGCGCTCGCCCAGTTTCACAGGCTCCACGGATCGGCTGTCTAATGACCTGGACGCCGGAGCGGTTCCCGTTGGCGGCCCCGCGCGCCGTGCGCCGGCCACCGCACAGCCCGGAGAGAGAGAGACGCCTCTGATGGAAAGCGGCGCCTCCCGGTGAGGATCGGCCGGTGGTGCAACTGCGCCGGATGGTATCGCTCCGACCAGACAGCGGCACCTTTTTAGGTCACTATTCGTCCGGTATGCCCGGTGATAACGAATAGAAACCGATCGCTGACCGCCCGAGGCAGAAGCCTGCCGCTGTTAAATCAACGGTAACCGGCCGCCGGCGCTGGGAGAGTAGGTTCGTCAGGCCGCCGTCAGATGGCAGGCGTGATTGGCCGCCTGAGGCCGCCACCGCACCGCTGCGCCCCAGACGGGGAAAGCTGGAGCAGGAGAAACCTGGAGTGAAGCCCGTTGGACTTGGCAACTCGAGACCGACCCAGTGAAATAGCTCCATCGGGGTCAGGATTCCTACACACGAATTAGTGCTGACGTAATGTCGTAATTGCCTCAGGAAATACTGATAGATATCGAGGACTATGTGAAGCGATTTCACCAGACTTTTCAAAAGATTTTCTTTGAGCGAATGCGTTTTGAGTAGGTATGGACTATGGAGTCTGAAATTGCAGTGAATTGCAGTGTCCACCCAGCGAAATGTGTGTATTTGTGGTCGCATGCGTCCATGTGTGCTGAAAGTGTTTTGAGTAGCTCTTGCCATTTCATCGATTTTCTGCCGTTTCAGCTCGTCGCCGTGCAGCGAAATAGTCGGTATAGGCGTACATCAGGGGGAATTTATTGTCATTCTTCGCGTCACATTTCGTGAGGCCACGTCAGTCGTCGTCAAATGAAACAATAAATAACACAACAACATCAGGGGGCATGTATGCAGAACAACAGGCAACAATAAACAATCCCTGTCGTAGGATGACAAGTCAACAAGTGTCGGTCAGCAAACTAAAACACAGTCTAGCAATGCGTTGTGAGCACCTGTCGCGCCGCCAGCGCAGCAGTCAGTCAAGCGTCGGGGCCCTTACCGGCCTCTTTCCCTCTCCCTCCCTCCCACCCTCTCTCTCCCTTTGCAGTCACAATGTCAGGTCCTGTGTCGGTCGTTGGTCAGGGACTAAGCTGATTCTATTTGTAACGAATGCATGAACGCAGCTGGGCGCGACTACTAGTTGAGCTACAGTCCCGTCGCACTGCGGGAATGGAGGGCAGAATGTTGGACTAGGCTTTGTCGTGCGTCACATGTCCTATGTACACTGGCGTCCGCCGGCAGTCAGTCGTCTCCTTTGCGCACGCGCACCAGGCCGCATCACTGGCACGCTCGCAACTGCCCGGCTTGGCAATAAATAACTATCAATAAGTTAACAACGGTTGCTGTCGGTTAGGCGGCGTTTAGATGCTGTTGGATCCGTTGTACTTGCTGATGAGGGCCTTGACGCTGAACTCGCAGTTGGCGTAGAGCTCCTCGCAGCTCTTCTGGCTGGAGCGGCCGCGGTTGGCGGCCTCCAGGTACTGGTCGAGCACCACGCGCAGGTCGGCGGGCAGGTTCAGCAGCTCCAGGTACTGCAGGTAGCTGTGGACGCAGAGAGGACGCGCCGTCAACGCCTCGGACGGCTAACGGTACCCGCCCCGGGGCCCGAGGGTGCCGGCGCCCGGCTGACGTAACGCCCCGGCCCGACTCAGAAGTGGACCACTGTCCGCCGCTCGGCCGCCCGCCGCCCGGCCTGGGAAAGCGGCCGGCGCCATTAGGTCGGGTGGCGGCTCGAGGGCTTATCGTCGCGCTCGGACGCGCCGCGCGCATACTGAACAGCGGCGAAAGGCCGCGCCAGAAGTGGCACGCAGAGGGCGCGGCGCGCCGACACGGGACATGACGGGAAATCGAGCCCACCCAGACCGCCGCCCACATGGGGACGGACACCCGGGCGACTGAAGTGGGACGGACGGTTCAGCTAGGTCACTGGAGGTCAGGAGAGGTCAGGAGAGATCAAGAGAGGTCATGACAGGTCACTGTGGGTCAGACGGAAGCCCAATAAGGAAGACCAGGTGTAACCCAGGTGCACTCTATGTGGGTCAGTCGCAGGAGGCCGGGAGGTCAGGAGTGGGCAGTTGCATTGCGGCCACCAGAAACCGTTGCAAATGCAATGAGGGTCAATGGGATGCGTTAGATTGAACTCAGAACGAGGGTAGGTGCTGTTCAAACTGTAGCGGTCACCGGTATGCCGCGGGTCGGTGTGGGAAAGAGGTCGGGGGTGTGCGGTAGAGTGCGGAGCGTTCACCTACCCGAAAGCGTCGTTCATCTTGCGGGCGGTCGAGCCCCAGGTGTTCTCGTTCTGGTGGAGCTCGCACACCACGCGCTGCTGGCACTCCATCTTGTTGGCGTCGAACTTGCGGTAGACCTGGCGACACACGAAACAAACCGTTATTGGCGCCAGGTGTAAAGGCGGATGGAGGGCTATAATTACGATGATGTGTAAATTTATTATACCAAAAGATGTCATTAAGAACCACTCAGCTAAGGGTAAGTCAAAACTGATGCCGTGATATTGAGCTAGGATTACGTTACATAAAACCGGACTGAAGAAGTAAAGCCACAAACAGGTTGCAGCGGCTCGACACTGGCAGGCCGGTTAAACCGGCTCAACTCGTCGGCGGCGGCCTTGGCAATGACCATACGGTGACCGGTCGGGGCGGGGCGGTGACACGGTGACCGGTCGATGGAGGGGGGGGGGGGGGGCTGACGTACCTCCTCCATCATGGCGATCCAGTCGAGGACGGACAGGTTGTCCCAGATGGCCGAGTACGGGTCAGAGCCGGACCTACAGTCGAACACGCACGTTAGACCACGAGCGCAGCCGACTCGACACTGGGAGGGGAAGCTACTCGAATTGTGCGCTACGGATACTTGATGACTAGCAAGATGGTGCAAAGGCGATGAAACTGCATAGAGATGATCAATGACTTGAGCCAATAAAGGACAATTCAAAATGATTGGGAGTAATTAAAGCCACACAATGAAGAAACACGAATGTGAAGCACCAGTATAAGACAACAATTAACGTTTTTCGTAAAGTGAAAAAGTTTTGTTATATACAAGCAGATCTAAGTAAAAGCGTTACTGAAGAAAGCAACACATACATTTACGATGCAGTTCTATATACAGGCATGCACATCTAAATACGGTTTCAACCCACCACCGACAATTAGCTTACCGTACAGCTTTCAGCTGCCTGCTCGTTTCAATGATGGAGTGTTAGAGTTATGTACAACATATATGAAGTGGAGAAGACAGACTTCTTGACATAAACGGAACTTTGTAAGGAGTGTCGAAAGAAGGATTATGTCATCGGCGATTGATGAAGCACGGCTAATCGCTGCTTTATCAGGTTAGCTGATTAATCTCTTCGTGCTCCTTCGCTCCGTCTCGATCAAATGTCCTGTCAAAGTTTGTTATCGGCGCACGCATAGCCGGGGGCGTATTTTCAGGGGAAGGGTCGTCAGCTGGGTATCGGTGGACCTCTGAGACGCTCGTCACATCAGGTCACCTCATGCGAAGCTGCATCGGTCGGCTTGACCTCAGCGGAAGTCTGCGCTCTTGCTCAGCTTCTGATGCGGTATTTACAGCAGATCCAGCCGGCTGGTGCCGTCTGGACAGCAGTCGCCGACCTTTTCACGTGCTGGTCAAGGTCGAAGGCGGCAGCGAGACACGGATGCATCATCCAGCCGCGGAGGGTTAGCTCTTCTGTCGCCAGGCTCGTCAGCAGCTCGGGTCTGTACATGTCGTTCCGAAGGGGCGACGTGGAATGCGTGTCTCTCGGGGCCGGTTAGAAGGCCCGTCGATGACGCTGAGGTGAGCTGCGGTAGCTCGCTGCGACGCTGATAACGTGCAGCTCCGGGCGACATATGTACAGCCGGTTGGTATTTACAGGCCGCGTCTTTACCTGGCCTGGAAGCCGGTGGCTCCAGTGAAGCCGGTGCTAGTGAAACCGGTGCCGAAGTCATCGGCGGGCAGGACCAGTGAGACGGCCAGCCAGATCAGCAGACCCAGGAGAACCAGCGCCACCAGACCTCCGATCGCGGTCAGCACGGCAGTGGTCGTAAGGGCAGCTCCGTCGTTGGTATTGTTGAACAGGAAGCGCGGGTCGAAGTCGACCGCGTCCGTCAACTCATTGGCCGAGGCGTACGCCACGCAAAGGAGCGTCAGGAGGAGCTTCTGCATGGTGGCGCCTGTGAAACATTGCCGGGTGCTGAGTGCCGCTCGGTGAAGGACTATGTACAAGGGCCCGGGGCGGCGGGCGTGTTGAGCTGTGTGTTAGTGGGAGAGAAAGTTGGTCATGTGAGCCGCCGATGATGAAGCGGCGATACTTACCAGTACCCCGTGTACATTGGTGTGTACACATCACGGCGGTGCCGCCGTCGACTCGCCTCCTCTGCCACGTGGCCGTGAAGGTGACGAAAAGGAACGGGAACGAAGACGAGAAGAGCGGCGAGTAGGAAAACCACGTCTAGCTCGACGAGTTGAAGACATCAAAGTCGTTGGAGACGAATCTAGAGGCGTGCGTTACTGGGGATTCTAAATGGAGGTTAAAAATGTTTACTGGGAGGATGGGTGACAGTCTTGTAGTTTGGGATACTGGGCCGGGAAGGCCGGACGATGCCAGAGGAGGCGCCGACTGGCGGTTGACCTTCCACTTACCTGTGCCACTCAGCAGCGGCGGCCCGGGCGCGCCCCTAGCGGGCCGGCTGAGTGCACTCATGGCATGCCCACCCCTGAGGACACTGAACACCCAGGGTACGTACGCAGAACGGGCGGAGTAGCCGCTCGCGTGGTGGCCGCCAGAGGCGCCATACGCTGGGTAGCCTGAGTAGCCTGTCTCGTCTCCACCGGCGCTCAACAGATAGAGCAGATAGGCGAGTCCAGCGAGCAGGATAAGACCGGCCAGTCCGGCCACGGCACTGGCTATGATTGTGCCCAGATTGATGGTTAGGCCCGTGGTGTTACCAATGAAGAAAAACCGGGGGTCGGCGGCAGCGCCATCAGCCGGCACCAGGTTCACAGTGTCCTCGAAGGCGGCGGCGCAGGCCACAAGTGCAAACAGCAACACATGAACCAACATGCTGTTATCTGCAAAACAGCAACGTGCGACGGGGTGAGAGGCGAGGTACGTACGCGGAGCGGCCGCTCGAGTAGCTCGTGTAGCCGGTGGACGCGTAGTCCTGACCCGAGTACCCGGAGTAGCCGGTGCCTGAGTCCCCGGACAGCAAGAACAGGAGGTAGGCGAGGCCGGCCAGCAGCGCCAGGCCGCCGAGCAGCGCCAGCGCGCCGGCCAGCACCGAGTTCAGGCTGATGCTCAGGTCCGAGGTGTTGAAGAGGAAAAAGCGCGGGTCGGGCTCGCCTTCGACGAGCGCGTTCTCGGCGAGCGCCGAGGCGCAGAGCGCGAAGGCCAGGAGGGCGCGGTACAACATGGCGGCTCCTGCAATCACGGCAGCTCAGTGACGCTAGCCGCCCGGACAGAGAGTCCGCTCGGAATCCGTCAGGGAATCCCACCGGGAGTCCACCGGGAAACGACAGGATTCCTCCGGATCGCGCCGTTATGTTGGCCATTTCATGTGCGGCTCATCTGCTGCATGTTCGAGTCCATGTATCGCCCGGTTCGACGGAGACCACCGTCGGGCTTGTTTGAGTAGGCGCATGTCTGAGTTTCGTTGTTGATTTTGGAATCACAAGGTGCCACCACCAGCTTACCTGTCAATGTACCCGTTTGTAAATGTACCCACCACCGGCGTGCATGTTGTCAATGTCGTGCATGTATACGTACGCGGCGCGGCCGGAGCCGTAGGAGCTGTACGAGGAGCCGGTGGAGTAACCGTAGCCAGTCTCTTCGCCCGAGTCGGTGAGCAGGAAGGCCAGGAGGGCGGCCATCAGGCCGAGCGCCAGCAGCGCGAACAGGCCGAAGATCAGGGTGGAGAAGGACACGGCCAGAGAGGTGGAGTTGTTGAACACAAAGCGAGGATCGACGTCATCGACGGCGTTCAGGTCATTGGCAAGGGCGGAGGCCGCGAGCAGCAGCACGCCGAGCGCGTAAAGGGCACGGTTCATTGTGGGAGCCTGTGGAGCGAGAGGCGCGCGTGAATCTATGTATGTACAGCGGGAGTTGCTGGCCGCTCGGTGACAGACGCGGCGCGGCGGCGGCAGATGCGGCGGCGCGGCGGCGTCCGTTAACCAGTCCGCCATTAGCCCGGTCAGTAACGGTGCGGCTCGGCGCCCTACAGCCGCAGGCAGGGTCGCTGGCCGGCCGCCGCCGCCGCCGCGCCGCCGCCGCCGCCGCCATCGACACCGGCCGGACGCAGCGCTGCAGGATTCTCTGACAGGGACTACCGCCATGGTTCGCTCGTTGTGAAAGCAAACACGTCACACCCCTGGGTGGCGCACAGAGACGCTCTGCCGCCCTCGGGGCGAGCATTTACGCTTTTTGCGACGCGTCATGATACTTTCTCGTGATTAGGGCTCACTGGGCGTAAATTTAAACGGGCTAATGAGGCTAAAGTAGCGTTACGACACAAATACTGTAAGATTTGGAACACTTACTGGATGTGTTTAGAGATCGGAACGTAATAAAAATGAGCAAACTAGGAGCAGTTTAGCCCCAATTTAGAGAAGTTCAAATCGAAAGAAAATTATGAACGCTGACGGCCAATATAATAACAAAGACCTATAGCGATCATTATCAAATACGTATACTCTATTACGATGATAAAAGAGACAGTTGTATATCACAATAATGCTCTGAGCGCCTTTATAAGTGGGTATAGGACGTACAAACGGGTAATGGCAGAAATACAATAAAAAAACAGTTAGGGGGACTATTTACAGCACACACAGTTTGTGGAAACTAAAAAAGCAAACCACTAATGATCTTTAACAAAATTAAGTGGAACTTTATAAATTACGTTGAAGAGCATGAATACTACTCTAACCACTTGAAACAAAACCTTAAAATGCAAGACAAATTGACAATGCAAGACGATGAAATAAATTTTACGTTAACACGAAACCTATCTTAACGTTACAAAAACGGCCAAACTGAGGGTTTTCAGGCCGGCGGATGTTGGGGGCTCCGATTTGTGTTCTGACAAGCACTCCCGCAGGAACACGGCGGATCACAGAGCACGGAGCACGGCGAGCACAGAGGCGCGAGCACGGTACTGCACGGCAAGTCCACCTCCACGCTGAGAACACACAACTCTTGCCAGTCGACCGACCGGACCGGCCCGAGCACCGGACGGCAAAAACCGGACAGACCGCGCCACGGACTCAATGGGATCATATGACCACTACGGTAGAGTACGTTACGGTATCAATGAAAAACCGGAATGCCTTGAAGGCTGACTGAAATCGAAACATGATCGCTGAAAAACTTGCTTGGAATGTAAATAGAGAACAAAAACTCGAACATAATGGTAATTTTGCACAAGAATGAATCGCAAATTGAAGAATCGAAGAGAAGCAAATTATTATAAACTTGGGATTCTGAGAACAGAGCTCAGCACAGTCCGCCGGGTCTTTCCGCCGTCCCTCAGGGAGGGTGTCGGCAGCTCGGTGCCGGCTCCAGTCGGTTCGATCACGGCCCGGGTCGTGCTCCTCAGCCTGGACGCGTCCTCCGCCGGTGCCTGCCACGCTGGCGGCGAGCCTCCGCGCCACACCGCGCTCCCACCTCCGATCAGCCGCCGTCTCCTCCACACTCGAGTCACACTGCACCGCGTCGGCACGTACCTTGGGGAGTACTAGCCTACTGCGAGTGAACTGCTGGGACGCCTGTCCGTCACTGTGCCTCTCCGGGCCGGCGGCTCGGTTTTATACCCCGGCCGGCTGGCCTGGTTCGGCGCGGCGGCGGCGGCGGCGCCGGCTGAGCGCGGTCAACGCTACACCGCCCCGGGCGAGTTTCCGACACCATCCGGGACAGGGCCGGCCGCCGCCAGCCGCGCCGACCGCAGCCGATAACCTACAATGGCGCGGCTTCCTGGAGACGACAGGCAGCGTCGATGGCGACGAGCGACGTCCGACGGGGCGCCGACGGGCCGACGGGGCGCCGGAGGGGCGCCGGTTCCGGGGACGGGGTCCGAGGGGTCAGCGGAGGCGCGGGAGGTGCAGAGGGACAGCAGGCGGCCGAATTAGGACAGAAGTCTGACCAGGTCAGCCGGGGAGGGCCCTTCAGCTTCACCGGGTCGGTGGCGCCCATCCGACCACGCGCGGTATGTGACCGGTGTCTCATCAATGGAGGACATCGCGCCACGCACGACAGGGACGCGAGCCGAGAAAATGAGAGACAAGGCATATAGAAAATAATTGTGTGGAAAGTAGCGTTAGCGATCAACTAATAATCAGATTAATTGAATGATTGCTTTCTTATCCGACGGCACCGAACGAAATGTTTGTGGCATACTTTTTAATACCTACATACCTACCTACATTACTTTTATGCAATGCCGCCTTAAGTACAGAACTACAATACTTAACTTATGCAGCCTAATTGCAGTGCCAGGATATAATAGAGGTCAATCATAAAAATAAATTTACATAACATTTTTTTCGGTCACCTCAAGGCTTGACGTTATTCCGAAATGTATAAGCTACATGACTACGGAATATTTCACATTATAGTCCAAATACGCTCGTTCAATAATACCAGTAAAACGCCTTTTGGGCAAAGAACGAGCGAGCGAGATAGTGAGCCCTGCACGTGTGGAAGGGCGAGAGGATACTTCCAACGGGCTTGTGCAAAGCACCCTTCTAACCGGCCGCTAGCGGTGTACCAAATTTGAACGCAATCGGCCCAGCCGTTCCTGAGATCTGGAAGCGGCATTCTGCACGTGCGCACGTGCAAGCGGGGTCCAAAATGACTTTTGCACGGCACCCTACTAACCGGTCCCCAACCGTGTACCAAATTTGAGCGCAATCGGCCCAGCCGTTCTCGAGATCTGGAAACGCCCCCTGCACGTGCGCACGTGCAGTAGCACCCTAACCGCAACACATGGGAATGCATTGCCTCGTAGGTGCCTACCTGTATGCCAAGTTTCAAAGAAATCGCCCCAGTAATTACCGAGTTACTGAAATGGGAACAAATTTGGCACCTCTTCTTTTTGTATTTTGCACGTGCAGTGGGGGTCACTCACATAGATCATGAGTATCCGACCTTTGGTAAAAGGGATGCAGCTACCCTACAAAAATTACCGCAAGACAATCGCCCAAGCGGCTGCTGAGATATGAGCCTCTCAAAATCACTACTTTTGCAAAACAGCTTGAACACCCTTGACTTTTCACGTGGCACGTGCCACGACGGTCACTGAGATGTATCAAAAGTAGTCAATTACGGGGTAGAAGGGATGGGGCTACCCAGCAAAAAAGACCGCAGGCCAATCGGTCTAGCGGTTGCTGAATGCTGAGATATAAGCCTCTCAAAAGCGTTACAGGCTGGGCCGGGCCGGGCCGCTCATACTGAGATTTTTCCGTTATATTGAAAAGACTTCGCTTCGCTCGCTGCGCTCGCTCGCTCGTAACTATTATGTCCAGATTTAATGACTTATTCATTCCTTGTAAAGTTATGTAGTGTTCTGACAAACGGTTCGCCAGCATATTTGTTTAGAATATTAAATGCCAATCAGCTTTGAGATCGGTTATCATGGTTAGGGTGAGGAAAGTGACACATTTGTTTGCAATTCGATAATTGTCGATAAACAAGAAGTCTTTAAATCAAATACTTTTTCATATATAACGATAAAATGGTGATGTGGGTTCTGAGAAAGAGAATGGGGCGGTAAGATGTTGCAGGAGTGACCGGGGGCCGCGGCAGGGCAGACAGCTCATGAGGCCGCGCTCAGCGCCGACCGCGCGTCCTTGGCCGCCGGGTGAGACCCGGCCATTGACACCGGCCGCTTGCTCCGGTGGCCAGACATGACGACACCACGGCGGCGCCGGGGCGAGCAGGTCAACGCTGAAATGTGAACGGCATTGACCGGAACTTACATGAACCCTAATGGTTTCAGTAAGACAAATCTGTATGTGTCTAAACAGCATTAGTAGAAAGAAACACGGAAATTGCTGCCAACATCATAGATGTAGGATGAGCCGGGCTTAATAACCTCCATCCTAATGAGATGCGTTTCGATGCTGCGTCGCATCAGTCCCCGTTAAAGGCTCTTCAGGTGAGCAGTCCGGGCTGTTGCGCGGGTCGGAGTCCGTGAGCAAGACATAATTAGGCATCGCATCGACGCTATTCCATTTATAAATCGATATGTGATTTTCGTGCAACTATTCTTTGTGTGTGATAAGATAAAACATTTTCAAAGGTTACATGTTGGCAGCAGAACGATAGGTACATAATCTTGCAAGCAGCCACCCTCTTCGTAGTGAATCTAGGATGGCATTTATGTTGTTTATGCACTACAAATTCACATAAGTCTGGAGGCCTGTCTGCACTCTATGTCACACTGCCACCAATGTCTGCATCTTTTCAGCGTCACACTGGGGTCGTGACGCGTCACTTTCATCCGCCGTCACCCGCGGCGGCGGTCATGGTGCAGGGCGGCCTATGCGGCGCGGCGGCGCGTGCCCGCATTAGTGACGCAGGTGGCGACCCTCTCTATGTTACGACCCCCAACGACCTCTCTCCCCTGCCGCCATAGCAGAGCTACTCACGACACACCGTTACTGCAGACTGTCACTTTCATGATGACGTCATTTGTTTCTACACAATAGTGCTGTATTTTTGCCGGCGTGTGACGTACGTTTGGTCTCGGTGTACCCCTGCAAGCGCATCACTCCAGTGCAACTGAGTGACTGCCGTGTTACGTGATATCACCGCCCTGACCCGTGACCGTGACGCCTCATGGATCTCGGTTTTGGTGGAGTGCATCTGATTTAAAAATAGGGTGGCTTAAGATCGGCATGGTGGTGGGGTGCGTTTATTGAATCTTAGTGTGCGTCTTCAGTAGATTGATTTGAGATGAATAGCGCTTCTCCTACACGTTTTGCAGCCGCTCTTAATTTAGTTTGATTCAAAACATTTAGTTTGAGTCATGCTTATATCGAATGCGTGCATAACTTGGGATTTCAGGAGTCATATCCATAATGTTGAAGTGCTACTCGTACATGCTTCCTAAGTCTCAATCGAATAACGCCAACCATTTACCACATATTCACCGATCACCGACTGAATCACGATTACGTTCACTGTGATGCAAATCTCCGGCAGTGTAAACCTAAGAACAATGAATGAATGTGACGTAATTAGCACCAATCCATCTGAGGTTTGCACTGCAGCAGTGCATATCTCTGTGCACCAGATTTGTATCAACAATAGAACGTGTTCCTCAGACTTAACCTACGCCAAGCTCCCTCAGCCTGTCTGAGTCGGGTTTGATGCGATTAGCGCACACGCCGTCCGGTCTAACTGGAAAAGCCGGCGTTACCGGTCTGAGCGCGTCAACAGGACGGATCAGGAAACCGTGCAGACCGGGAACTCACCGGCCGCGTCGGATAAAAGTAAAACTGGATTGGTCGCTTGGTGCTATTTTTGGCGCAGATATGCTATCTTTGTTTGTACTCAACTGTGCTGCACGCTTGGATACAAGGACATGTTGCACAGACCATATCCGAGAGAGGAATGTACTGGACACAGATATGTCTCGCTGTGATTGCAAGCAAAATACATCTCAATCAGCACAATGATTGGTCTAGTATGAAAGCATTTAAGATTTAACCCTATTACTGGTGGCCGGTGGGCTTTCTGGACTACGTTAAAAACGATCAGTTTGGTAGGAGAGTGTTGACATTCGAATTTCGTTGGCCTAAGCGCATTAAAAAGCATTCCATTGTCTGTTTTGCACAATGCAAGAACGCAATAATGGTGGTTACACCATGTTAACGCCAATTTTAGTTACATGTTTGTGTGTTCATGCACTGAGGCCGTTGCATGTGTTTGATCTTACTCAAACATCCCCAGTATGCTGATTTGCGGCGAATGGTGTTAGTGTCCTGTGCAGTACTGCAGTCTCCGCTACTGGTGCTATGTTTGTGTGCTATTCTGCAGTCTCCAGCCGCGCCGCGGTCAATGCATCCGCTTGGCCATGGCGTTATTACAAAGGCTGCTATCCCCTAGCCTTTCGTTGCATCTGACTTCAATGCTGGGAGTGTTCATGAATGCACATTGCACATTGCACAGTTGCACTATCACCAGTAATGATGATGACATTCCGTTTCAAACCTCTGTAGTCCCTAGTCAATCATGCTCCCAGTTTTCGTCGAGGCACTTCATTAGCCCTATTCACAGACCAGTGATACGTCAGCTGTACGATGGGATCATTACCGGCGCAGCTCAATTAAGCTCGTGTTCTCATAAGGCACTCGTGATACGGTAATAAAGAGTTGGTATCGCCATCAACTGCTCGTTAACGACCACTGAAGTTCACTCACTTGAAAGCAGTGGTGGACGCCATAAGGAACGTGTTGGAAACGATATCGCATAGTGACGGGTTAGACAGTTTATCGAGTTTCTTCCTGACCAGAAGCTGAAGAGGGAATGAATGTGGCATCGAATGTCAATTTTTGCTACCGAGTAACGACAACTCAGCGGCGGCATCTACAGGGATTCTGACTGCCTGAGTTATATGCCTATGTCTATTCTATGTCTACCTATCTATGTCTATTTTTCATCGGACAAAATGCAAGGCTCCCGTCTACAACTTAGGACCTGTTCACTGCACACTTTCAGCTTACATCTTCATGGAACGTTTTCCCACCGAAGCCCATCGAAGCCCATTCATTGCCAATTAAGTCCATTCACACTAGTCC